TAAGCCGGCTGCTTACATTGGCTCTGGCTCCTGAATAAACCGTTTTCCTTGGGTGGAAGGACAGAGATAAGAGGGGGGAGTATCCAAAGGGAGAGCCAAATGGCCGCTCACAGGTCATGGGGGCTGGAGACCTGCACAGGCTGCGGGTGGCAAGGGCTGGGGGTCTGCAAAGGGCTGGGGGTCTGCAAAGGGCTGGGGGTCTGCAAAGGGCTGGGGGTCTGGCTTCTGGAACAAGGTTGCTACCTTCCCAGGATCACAGGCAGCTCCCGGCGGGGGAGGAGGGGCCCGTTTCCAGGTGAGCCCCTGGGTCCCACTCGAACCCCCTAGCCAGGTGGGAAGGTGCCTCTGTAATCAGTGCAGAGCTGACACCGTGAGCGGAGCAGGGGTCATATTTCGGACAGTGACAGCGGGTTCCCAAACTTCTTGCTCTGCCCCGTCATTCACGGGAGCGGGAGATGGTGACAGGCGAGATGGACACGCCCCCCTCCTGCACACAGGGGACAGGCTCAGGGGAGGGGGACCCCCGGGGGCTCAGAGCTCAGGACAACGGTCCTGCTCCTGGGGGAGGGGACGCAGGCCTCCCGGGCGAGGGAGGTGACCGAGCCTTGAACACGGCTCGTGCCCGTGACCTGCCTGCACGTGGACCTGCCTCCCTCCCTGGCTCCCCCGAGGCAGGCCGGCCAGAGACAGACGTTCCCTGGATCATATTCTAGCGCCAAGGAAGCTATGTCAGCTAGTCACCGCCCCCCATTCCCTTATCATTTCTCCTGTGAAGGATGATCTGTGAGCAGCATGTGATTGCGTACAACAGCCTGTTTTCTTAAGAATTACAGGGACGGTTCATAGGAAGCTGCCTCCGGCACCGGACATCCCGGCTGCCAGATGTTTGCTGACCTTCCACCGTGATCTGAACAGATGGGGTTTGGGGACAATCCCCTCAGCAGAGAACTCTCAACCCCTCCCTCCATCCCTTTGTTCTCCCCCCCTCCTCTTACAAAACCTCTGCCTGAGTCCATTTGTTAAGATGGTCTTTGCACCCTGGCCACTGTGGCTCAGAGGTTAGAGCATTGGCCAGGGCACTGAAGGGTCTCGGGTTTCGATTCCTGGTCGAGGGCACATTCCTGGGTTGCAGGTTCACTCCCTGCCCCCTGGTTGGGTCATGTGCGGGAGGCAATCAGTTGAAGTGTCTCTCTCACATCGATGTTTCTCTCCGTTTCTCTCCCTCTCCCTCCCTCCTCTTTCTCTGAAAAGCAATGAATAAAATATCCAAAGATGAGGATTCATGAAAAAATAATTTAATTAAAGGGATGACCTTTGTGATGAGTCTGCAGTCTCCTCAGGCTGCTGGCTCCTGAATAAACCATTTTTCCTCGCAGCAGCACCAGCCCATGGAGGACTGGCGGCAGCAGCAGGCAGCCGAGCCTGGCTCGGTACCAAATCCGGCTCTTGGGGTGTTGGCAACAGCTCAGAGCCCAAGGCCTGTTAGAGTGACAGCCTGCTCGTCCAATGGAAAAGGTGCACTTGAGTCTTGGAACGAGTGAGTGACTGATGTGCAAGTCAGGGTTTGGGGACAGTGACGAGGCCTGGAGTTCCTAGTATGTGTACGTCACCCCATTTCTAAGAGTCAGAGCATGCTCAGAGGCCCCGCTAACGGCAGACAGCGGGGACGTGGGGACACACGTTCCAGTCCACTCGAAGGTCACAGGGTCCAAGCGCCAAGCCAGTGAGGGAGCGAGAATGCTTCCAGGCCCGGAGGCAGGTCAGTGACAGCCGCCTGTCACGGCAGAGTCAGGTCACGGGTCAGACTTGAAAGCGCAGGGAAGGGGTCAGGGGCCCTTTGATGTTAAGTCTGTAATAAACGGAACAATGACACCTGAGGTGACACCAGGTGAGCATCTCGGAACAAGGAAATAAGAACAAAGCGAACGATCAAAGGTTCATCAGATTGAAACTGCCTTCCCAGGTCAGAGCCTGCACAGTCCCATGTGGGGGCTCCCGGCCCGGCCAGCAGGGCCCGCACCTCCTCGGGCTGGTGAAGGCCCCTACCCTGAGGGTCAGCTGCATTCCCACCAACCAGGTGCCCTGGGGCTGGCGGTCAGAGGCCTCCTGCCCTTCCTCCCGCTTCCCTTGGGTGGCCCTGACCCTCAGCCCTGTGACCCCAGGGGCCCGGAAGGAAAACGTGTTGCTGAGCATCCGGACATCAGCTGAGACCCGGCGAGGGCGCTTCCCAGGGCCGCTCTGTGCTTCCTGGGTACTTTCCGTGCCGGACTGCCCTCTTGGGAGTCCCTGGATGGGACGTGCTCTCCTGTCAGCCCCCGTGTCCCCGACTCCGGCTTCTCTCCTCCTGGGGCGGTGAAGGAAGAGGGGAGTCTGCCCCCCACACGGCCTTCCCCCCCCAGCGGGGCCTTCTCACCCTCTTCCCCTTGCTCTCCTCTGTCTGTGCTGAATCCCACTCTAAAGGGAGCTGGTCAAGTTGGCTTCCCCCAGCGCATCGCTGGAAAACGGAAAACACCACCAGCGCCTCTCAGATCTGAAGCTCTGCCCTGTGACGAGCTCCGGGGTCTCGGGAGGGAGCGTGTTTACGGTGGGATCCGGCCCCGGGAGGCCAGGGAGGGTGGGCCTGTCTGGAGCCACGTGGCAGCCAGGAGGCAGGAGGCAGCCCCAGCGCTGGCCCTGCCACAGGCCTGCCTGTTCCCAGCCGAGCGGGACACCCGGGAACTTTCTAGAATGACCAGCTCTCGGGGCCACGCACACCTACAGGGTAACTTGTTCCGCAGCAACAAGTAGAACAGACGCTAAAGGGGTTCTTGGTCTGTGTGTCTCCCACGCGGAGTCTCTACCTCGTCCCAATCGCCGTCGAGGCCTCTCAGGCCAGTGGTTCCTCGTTTGAAAACGAGTCTGAGAAAGTCCCCAAGGGCAGCGAGGTCCTGGCAGGGCCACACACGCTCGTCCCCACACAGGCCCCAGAGGGAGACCCTCCCAACCTGCCCAAGGCCTGTCTGTCCCCGCCAGGAAGCCGGACCAGGACGGAGAGGAGTGGGTGTCGCTGCTCCCAGCCAGGACGCTCAGCCTCAGGGAGGCGGAATCGCATGGCAGCCATGGCCCGACCCGGCGGAGGGGACCCCGCTCACCCCATCCCCGGCTCCTGGACTTAAGCCCCTTTGTAACCGGAACTGGGCAGGGGGGTGGGGGCAAGTCTCCTCTATCCCAGGACCGGAGTAAAGCAAGGCCAGGCGGCGTCTCAGCTCGCGTCTCCTGAAGGCCCCCCCTCCCCCCGCCCCCCCTGCGTGGGCAGCTGCAGGTGCAGGTGAGCTCTTGCTGACAATTGTTGGGGACGTGACTGTGGGGAGCGGAGGCCCCGGGCCTTAGAGCAGCCCCGAGTCCAGCGCTTCTGCCTGGGTCCCAGGACACCCCTGCGGGAACAGGCACTGGCCCTGGGGAGCACTCACTGGCCCCAGGCTCCCGGCCCCACCCACACCTGCACCTGAAGGTCCTGTCCTGCATCCCAGATAGGCAGGTGCAGCCAGGCCTCAAGTTTGAGGGAGATGCGAGAAGTGGGGGGCTCTGCAGGGCCTCGCACGCGGGCTTCCCTGAGGCCCCTCCCCCATGCCTCCCTCTCCCAGGCTCACTCACCATCCTCACCTTTGAGGTGGAAGCTGCAGCACCTCCCTCCAATGAGGGCCGCCCCTCCCCCAGGGCCCCCTGCCCACAGGTGTGGGTGCTCCTGGAATGAGCCCACCAGGGGCCAGGCTCCTGCAGGAGGCGGGTTCTCTCTCTCTGAAAGGCGGGGGCTCCCTGCACAGCCAGCGCCTGCTCCCGCACCTGCTCTCCCTGTCTGGCCTCCAGCAGCAGCCCCCACACCTGCCCTCGCGGATGGGAGAGCCTGCTGGTCAGCGCCCACCACCTTTCAGCGGAGGGATGCAGCTCAAGGCCGCCACCTCCGAGCCTGCCTGGGCGTTCGCCCCTCCGAGTGTTTCTCACTTTTTTTAAAAAAAATATTTTAATTGATTTCAGAGAGGAAGGGAGGGGGAGAGAGAGAGAAACATCACTGATGAGAGAACCATTGATCAGCTGCCTCCTGCAGGCCCCACACTGCGACGGAGCCCACAACCCAGGCCTGTGCCCTGAATGGGAATCAAACCGTGACCTCCTGGTTCCTAGGTCGATGCCCGACCGCTGAGCCCTGCCGGCCGCGCCCTTCTCAGCTCTCTCTCTAATGGACATGCTGGGACGGCGCCTCCCAGGCCTGACCGTCCCGTCCGCAGCCTCTGGGCGCTGTTTCCTTTCATCCGGCCAGTTCTCCCGGGAGCTTCTCTCTTGTGTCATCCGCCCCGGGCAGCCGAGCGGCCAGCTGCAGCCCAGGTGCCCACGTGCCCCCGGCTCCTCGCCCACCAGCTGGCACAGGCAGCAAACGGCCATCTGACCACAGGTCGTGCCGGTGACGGGAGCCACTCTCCTCCTCTGACGTCCAGCGTCCGGCTGCTGTCAGCTGTGCGCCCGCCATGCTGTTCTGAAAGCCGCTTCCCAATCTCGAGGTCCCTGTCTCCCCGTCTTCAGGAGCCCCAGGCCCGAGACCCCAGGGCCCCGAGCGTGCCCGAGCCCCCTGGAGGCGTCGGAGCACAGGTGACGGCCGCCCCTGTGTCCAGTTCAGCAGCCTGCAGGGCGGGGCCAGGAATCTGCGTTTATTTCTCTTGTTAATCCTCACTGGAGGATATTTTCTCATTGATTTTTAGAGAAAGTGGAAGTGAGGGGGGAGGGGGGGAGAGAGAGAGAGAGAGAGAGAGAGAGAGGCAGAGGATTTTGAAACGCCCTTTCCTGGGCATCACAGCTGAAACGCTGGCCCTGTCGGCCGTGCACCACGTCACGTGACATGTTCTAAGGGCCTGACGTCCTGGAATCGTCACCACAGGTTTCCTGCTTCCTGATAGTTCTCTCTCTCCGCGTATGTCCAGTTACACAGATTAGGAGGGAAGAGAATAAAGTGACGCCAACAGACCTTCTGCAAATATAGAAGTACTTTTATTGCATATACCGCGGCTACGTGGTCTGGGGGGACGGGGCACGTTTTGACTTCGGTACAAATTACAGCTTGGAAGGGTTGGCCAATGGAGGGAGGAAATGACAGGAGGGAAGGAGGGTGGACGAGAAATCAAACCGGAATCACATGACCTGGAGAGCCCCCGGGGTGCGCACGGCGGCCTGGGGTACGGCTTTTCCGCTGAGGGACGGACGGACGGACGGGACAGTCATGGCCGTGTGCCGGGTCCCAGTCTCTGGAAGCGGCTTCTCTCTGGCAGGAGCAGGGCGGATTTCCATGGGCGATCGGGAAATCCTCGCGGGTGGTGGTCGGTTTCTGGCGGCCATGCCGTGGCTTCCTGAGCCGGAACCACGCGTGGACGGGCGGGGCGGGTTGAGGACGCACCGAGGTCCTCCCACGGGGCCCAGCGTGCGGGAGGCGGGGAGCCCCTGGAGGGCCGCTTTCACAGTACAGGAGGCCTGCCCGCCGCCGCGGCCCTCGCCCCGGAGCCGTGCAGGTGTCGCCGATGGAAATCCAAATTGCGTACCTGGGACGGGCCCGCTGGCCGCCCTGCGGGGACTCACAAAGTTCATCGCCCGTGTGGGGAGCCCGCGGGCAGCACCGGGCCCACCGAGCCGCTCCCGGGGATTAGCGACCACAGAAATTAGCACCAGACATTCGGGACCGAGGACCATCTGCTACGGGGACCCCGCAGACGAGGCGGGAGCCTCTCGCTCTGCGTGTGTTTTCAAATCACAGGACACAACCGGACGGGGTCACAGGTCTTGGGGGGTGTGCCTCGGGGCCCCGCGGGAAGGGAGGGACGGCACTTATCGCGGCGTCCTTGGTAGAAACCCGGACTGTGGAGGACGGTGGGGGAGGGAGGCCCGGCCAGGCCCGCGTCGCCTTCAGGATCTCGAGACAGATAGCACCACAGAGAGAGAGAGAGAGATAAGCACCGAGTTTCACTTAGCGACCGTCCGCAGAACACGCGGCCTCCTGCCCCGGACGCACCCACTCGGGGTGGGGTGGGGGCATAGGGGGCCGCCGAGCCCGCCTTTCACCCCAAGTGCCTGCCGATAAGGCAGCGGGTAAATGCCTGCTCCCTTCCCACGGGAAAGCCCGGAGCTGATAAGACACCAACGGTTGGTCTGAGTAGGGCCTGCACCTGGCGGCGGGAACCCTCGCTGTTCTGGGCAGATTTCCAATCGCTGCACCTGCTCCTGCAGCGCGGGGTGGGGCTCCGGGTCTCGCCAGAGGGACTGCATCCAGCGCGGGCACAGCACCCCCCCGCCCCGTCCCCTTCTCCCCTGGGACTGAGCTGGGCTTGCCTACGTGGCTGAAAGTCGGGGACACTGAACGGTTATGACAACACAATACACACATTTACGCCATCACACACACAGCACCTGGGACCCGCGGGCGGCACGGGAACGGCTGACACCTGGCCCTGAGCGAGCGGCCCGGGCTCTGCGGGGCGCGCCTGGGAACGTTTGTGGAAGGTCAGGGGGAACGCACATCTTCAAGTGGAATTTAAAAATGTCCTCTCCAAACCCCGCAGGCCTCGGCCCGCCCCAGCCCCGCCAAGGCTCCACGGGCCAGGTCGGCGAGGTCGCGCGGCCCGTCCCGTCTGTGGAGTGCGATGCGGTGTAGACGGAACCTGGAGACTGAGGCGGGGGCGGCCCGGCGCCTGGGGGGCATCGGGGTCATGTGATTCGGCTCTGAGGTGGGGACACGGCTCTTTCCCTTTGCTCTCTCTGGTTTGGGGTGCGGCCTGGCGGGGTGCCGGGGCGCGGATGAGGTCGGGGATGGGATGAGGGGCCTTCGCTGTCCAGGACACCCCCAGGTGGCGTGCTGAGGTCACGAGGTTGGTCGCGGGGTCGGCACGGCTCCTAGCCCAGGAAGCAAGCCGGTCCCACTTCAAATCCGAATTTCTGGGCCGCCTCCCCGAAGTCGTTGAACATGATGTCCACGATGGGCACCTGCTCGACCTTGGGCGTGTCGATCTCCAGCACCGTCTTCTGGTAGCCTTTCCGGGTCTGGGGGGGGCGGGGAGCAGGGGCGTCAGGCCAAGCAGCCTCTCGGGGTGGCCCCTCACCCACCACACCCGCCGGGTCCCCCCACGTCCCATTCAGCCCCCTCCATAGCCAGGAGCCGGGAGCCGGGAGCCGGGAGCGGGGCTGGGACGGGGCCACAGCCATTCGGACCCACCTCGTCCCTGCCAGGCGGGCACCCCCGTCGCCCCATAGATTCCCCCCAAGGAGGTCTCGCCAGGACTGTGGGCTCCACCCAAACCAGGGGCCCTTGTTAAAAACTCAGCACCTCATGGCGGCGCCAGCAGCTGGCCGCACTCACAAGAGCAAGAAGAGGAGGGGGCCTGGGTAAACTGAGGCACGAGGGCGCGGGCAGCTCAGGAGAAGTGACCTGCACCTCCCCATCGGCAAGTTCTGTTTGGCGTCACCAGGTCCCCACTGTTTCATGGGCTGACTCTGCCCTGGTACCAAGGTGGCACGGGCGGGGCCACACACGGGTCCCTTTAGGCCGTGGGAGCCAGGAAGCTCAAAGCCAGAGTCCCAGCTCGGCCCGGCCCCGCCCCGCCTCTCCGTTCTGCCTCCTCATCTCCCGTCACAGCACGGCCCCTGCCAGCGGCTGTCTGTCTAGGAACAGCCCCAGGAGCGGGTCCCCTGGGCTCAGCTCCAGCCCAATGCGGTTCCCAGCTCCTTCTAGGCGAGTGGGGTGCCCGGGGCGCCCCGGGAGCAGGTGCTGCAGTTAGCTTCCCGGCGGGAGGCAGAGAAGCGGGACTTTTCCTTCTGCCCCCCGCCCCACCCCGTCTGGCCTCCCGGGAGCAGCTGGGGGTGCGTGTCAGGAGCAGGAAGGGCCTCCTGGGCGCAGGGCGGGCTCTGGCCCTGCCGGGGTGGAGCCGCCCTGGCCTGTGCCCGTGGGATCTGGCCTGGGGGGCAGCGGGCAGGGTCTTGGAACAGGCGGTGCGGAGAGCAGGGATCCGAGGGCTCAGCTCAGAGCCGACGTGCAGACCCGAGGGGCTGACCCTCCGCGAGGAACCCCGCCTGGCTCTTGGGGGCCACACGTGGGGTGCGGAGCAGGGCCAGCATCCCGGGCCCAGAGGCCAAGAAGCAAATGAAAACCCAGCCCTGACTGGCCGGGCGGCCTGCGCGAGCCTGTCGCCTCCTGGGCCTGTCACCCCTTCCCCGCGGCGGCAGGGGGTCCAGGGAGCTGCCCTAACGCGGGCGGGGCTGCCGGATGGGGTCCACAGCCAGTGGTTGCTGTCATCGCCCCGAGTCTGCAGGCCGTCCCAGCACAGCCACGGCCTCGGGAGCAAACCCAGTCTCCGCTCAGCCCAGTCCGGAACGGACCTGCCTAAGCAGAGGGTCCGGCCTCCGAGTGGACGTCACATGGGAGGGGCTTGTGGCCTGGGCTCCCTGGCCCTTCCTGTCGCCTCCCGGCCCTCCCTCCCGGCCCTCCCTCCCGGCCCTCTGTGGGGCGGCCAGGGTCAGCCACGTGCTCACAGCAGCAGCCAGGGGGCGCTCCTCATTTGGGCTCCCAGGGTCCCCGGCACCCAGCTCAGGGCCTGGCCCAGGGTGCGTGCCCAGTAAATGGTGTGGACTGAATGAACGAACTGCTCCAGTCGCGAGCGAGTCCCACCCCCGAGGCGGCGCCCACGCGATGCTCACCGCGCAGCCGTCCACCAGGGCGTGGATGTAGGGGCTGTTGTCGTAGGACATCTCCTCGTCGTTGGAGCCCAGGAAGCGCATGGCCTTGTCGTAGCTGCCCGTGGCCGCGTCCTGCCAGGCCACCGACTGGTAGCAGTTGTAGGTGATGTTCTGGTTGGCGGAGGCGCTCAGCAGGCGCAGGAACGTCATCTGGACCACGCCCACGGGGCTGCCCTCGGCGTCCACGTAGGACAGCTGTGGGGGGACAGGAGGAGGGCGCTCAGCTGTGGGGGGACACAGGCGCTGACGCAGTCCCTGGGACAACGCTCACGGCGGCGCCTTCACCCGCGGGCCCTCTCCTCCGCAGCGTGAGCCACACCAGGGCACTGCCTGGCAGCCACCACTCACCCGGCCGAGGCCGGCACACACCGGCTCGTGGGGTCCCTGAGCCACACCCCACTTTTTCAGGAACCTAAATAACTCCCCCACTTCTGTGCCCGGCCCCATCCTGCAGGGCTCCATGCACGTGCCTCCTCCTCCAGGAAGCCCCTCTGGGTTAGGTGCCTCACCCTCACCTTGGCCTGTCTCAGTATCCACCTTCCCCCCAGGGGTGTGGGGTGTAGGCGCCCGGGGCTGGGAAGGCAGCCCTTTCTGGACCTCCCTGTCTGTGTGCCCCGAGGCGGCCAAAGGCTCATTAGGGTTCCGTTCACGGTGAACACCCTGTGCTGAGGGCCAGTGATGGGCGAGGCCTGGGCCAGGGGGCCTGAGAATGCAGGTCAGAGGCCAGGCCCCGGTAGCACCCAGGCCAGCAGGAAGCCCGGCCCCCTGGAAGGTCA